TTTTTTCCAGATCCCCTTTTGTTGCCAGTTCAGTGGGTCCAGGTGGTTGAGTATCAGAGTGTTCCATGTCATTTTCCTTTGGGGCTGCTGTAGGTGATCTGGAAGTCTTGTTTTGAGAGTTATTTAAGTGTTTTCTCATTTTGACTGGGGTGGGGTCTGTTAGTGCCTGCACGGATTACCTCCTCTGAGCTGGGTGAGGTGGGACAGGGACCAGGAGCAGTGGTAAGGATGGTGACCCAAAAGCCCTTTCCTGTGGGCTGGGAGCAGCGGGAGGTATGGTGGCCAGGAAGCCCCTTCCTCTGGTCCAGAAGCCGTGGGATGGCGGCTCAGAAGCCCCTTCCTCTGGGCCAGGAGCAGCGGGATAGAAGGTGGCCCAAAAGCCCTTTCCTCTGGGCTGGGAGCAGAGGGAGGGATGGTGACCAGGAAGTCCCTTTTTCTGGACCAGGAGCAGTGGGACCACAGCTCAGAAGCCCCTACCTCTGGGCCTGGGAGCAACGGGAGTCAGTACCTTGGTCTGGTGGTCTGGTGTCCTCTGCGTCTTTGTAGTGTGGAACCAGGTTGCTGCCTGTCTGCAGCAGGGTGATTTTGCATCTTCCATGCAACTCGGGACCTCGGTAGTGTGTGCTCAGACTTGCCTGTCTGCAGTGGGCTGATTCAGTGTGTTCTGTGAGACTGGGGACCTCGGTAGGGCATGGGCAGACCTGCCTGTCTGCAGTGGGGTGATTCGGCATCTTCCAAGGGACTCAGGACCTTGGTAGGGTGTGCACAGACCTGCCTGTCTGCAGCAGGCTGATTTGGTGTGTTCCGTGTGACTCAGGACCTCTGTAGGGTGTGGGCAGACCTGCCTGTCTGCAGCGGGGTGATTCCCTCCCTAGGTTTTTTCATTAGTGGATCTTTCAAAGGAATAATCTAATTTTTTTTGCATTTTAAATTTCTAAATGCTGAAGGTCCAGTTCAACATTATAGCAATTAAGTGTGAATTTGTGAACTAAGCATACAAGCTTAAGTTTTATCAGAAACAGTTGATTGACAGGCTTCAAATATTGGGAATATTGTCCTATTTTAGAATGTGTACTAAGACAGTGCATTCTAAAAACTTCACTTAAGATCATAAAAGTCAGTTCATGAACTATTTGCTCATAACAATATTGCAAGAGTTTAAGAAAGAATTAGAAGAATGTCTGAACACCTACTTCTGCTAATTAAGTCTTGTTTGTGAGTAAATTGGGGGTTCTATTTGGTAATCAGAATGAACCAAAACATCATATTGTGGGGTCACATCATAATTGCAGAGTTAAGTATGTATGTGAACTGAACTGTCCTTGATAGAAGAAAATAGGAACTGTGTAAGCAGGTTTAATTTTCTTCCAACCATCTCAATTAATGAGTGTGATCCAGGGTGAAGGAAGATGACAAATGTAAAACTGCTGTCTCCTTAGTGTTTCAGGTCCAACGTATCTGAGGTTTCTCATTATGCTTGACACAGTGCCAATAATTGAACATTCAAATTATTAAAAATACATCTTGCCTCGCTCCTAAATGCAATACATTTATATTATTCAAGGTTCAGCAGAGGAAACAGCAATCTATTCCAAACCATGAAGAAACAGTATCTGTGATTAACTTATCTATGTGTTCTAACTTTAGGACCATTTAAAAATTTTCAAGAATAATTCTGGACTCAGATGAATTCCTTACATTTTGAAGCAAACCTGTTTGTGAAATTCAAGTTCACTGTATGGTGTTATCAGACACCAGAAAGGATGAAGGTGCCAGGCTAGCAAAGGTGGATTCTACTCACAGTCAGCATCAGGAAACACAATGCAAGGGCTCTTCCCCCCCAGCTCCAGGGTGACCCTCTTCAGATTGCTCTTCCCAGAAGCTTCTGTGATTATTTTGCCAACCTGAAATGAAGCATTGCAAAGGAGCAGATTTACTATGTACTCATGAAGACGGGTTTAACATTTTACATTTATATGATGTTTGTGGCATCATTACATTTTATTTGGAAGAAACACTGAGGCATTTTTTCACAACTGGCATCTGGGATTTTAAAAGGTCCCCCAAGCAAGTATATAGACACAAAGATAAATCAGAAAAACATTCATGGGCAACACAGAAGAGATATAGAATGTGATAATAGTCTTGCTGAGTGTAATTAGACAGGATGTTACTTTTCATTTTAATCCGAACTTCATCTTGAGATTTATTGGATGCATCGTGACTCAGCCTGTAGTTACTTATTTGACGTTTCATCCATCCCTCTACTGACATTCATAGAACTCTATCCAGTCAACTGCCTTATTCTCCACATCTTGAACCTCGTCTTTCTTCTCATTATATATCCATCACCACCTGGATCGCATCCAAGTCCTACCCTTAGTGGGGTTCAGCTGATATTTTAACTCCTCCTAGAATCTTTTTATCAAGAGTCTGGGTAGACATAAGCTTTTGTTCTTCTGGTCTCCCAGTGAACCACGTGAAGACTTTTTCAGAGTTGGCTTCAATTTGTTTTTTTTTTTTTGTTTTTTTTTTTTACAGAATTTAATTTTATCTTTATGAAGTATTCTGAAATCAAGGACGGTAGGTAATACATGCATTAGGCACATTCAACAGAAGACTTTTACAATGGTTTACGTTTCTTTTTTATTTATTCCTTGAAACTGCCCGTATTGTGGGTTTTTCATGGGTGAAATATGAAACTGAGCAGATTCTTTTTTTCTACAAAATTATGGTATAAACTTGCTCAATTTTCTATCTTATTGCTTATAAACCTTACAGGTGCACAGTTTGTAAAATAAACTCCTTAAGGACTGAATGTGTAGAGCATGCTGCAAGGTATGAGAGATAACTAAAAATGAGCATATATAACTACATCTGGACCAACACAGTACTGAATGTTGGCAAACATTTATCACAACACAGGGAAAAATTAATGAAAGGAGATACAGTTCAGTCCATAGAGGGTTAAATAGAAACCCTAATATATTATTGTTTCTAACCATCCATCCTACATTACAGTGCTTGAAAACAAGGTCAAAAGTCTGGCACAGAAAGTTACACACATTTGTTCAGTACTCATCAGAAACACAGCTGCTTTTGAAATCAAAGTACTTGGTTAATAACTGAATAGCATTTTGTTTCAAAAAGGAACCCCACCTCCAGTGGGTTTTCTGGTTAACTTGGCTAGTTAGTTAGTTTAGTTCTCAAAGATGGCATCAGAATTTTCTGTGAGCGCACAGATGGTACCAGTTTCATCAAAATCAAAGGCAAAAGAACTTAACGGTTATGATGGCAAATGAGTTTGTGCAGTAAGAGTTGACAAGTATTTCAATAGTTAACTCTAGATGAGGATGCCTTTAGTGGCCACAGTTTAAGAAAGTCAGCAGCAAGTTAAATACTGTACTAGTGTTCAACTCTGAAATCATTCAAACTATAAAGAGCATTCTATTTTAGCATCTTTAGCTTGCCTTCCCAATCTATGTGACAAATGCAATGGAACTTGTAAAAACATGTTGAGTCACAAGCTCAGCTTCTATGCCTATCTTGAGAAATTGTACAGAAGCGTGAGAAAAGAAGATATACTTCTAAAACAGAATTTAAAAATCAAATATACTGTAAATAATCATTCTCCTTTCCACAGAATCTCTGTATGGCTAAATGGCCAACATATCTAATAATGCCATCATCAGTGGAGGAATATACTGTACTATAAGAGGAGGGCAAGACTCTCAGATATACACTTTTAAGTATAAAACGATTCTCAAAACCATGAAGAAGATTTTTTTCAAAGGAGCTGACAAAAATAACTACTGATGAATAATAAAGCTACAATAGATATGACCTCACTCTTCGGTCTGTGATATGAGAATGGCATAAAATAGACGGGGGAAATGCCAATATCGGTACATTCCTGGATTTTCCAAAAAAAAAGAAAACAGGAAAAGGGTTTACAGGCTAACATTTCAATTATCTTATTAGAAGAAACACAAAAACTAAAATGATATAAACACTTAAAAGCACAAAAGTTCATTTTAATAAAGCCATGAACTTGAAAACTTATTTTGACCTGTAAGCTGAATAAGGAATAGTTTGTTCTTCAAAAAGCATCTCATTTGTTAATGGTTAATTTAATATGATTTCTTAACTAAATACAAAATCAAGAAATGTAGGTACTTGTGGCCCACTTTAAAAAAAAAAAAAATCAAGCAGCACTGAGAAAACCTTCACACTAAACAAAAAGCACTGTGTAATGACTGCTTCCGGGACTCAACAGAGAAGAAATACTACTCAAATAAGCAAGTCTCCAAGTAATAGCCAGTGAGCAGTTACCACAAAGAAATATAAGGCCACAATGCATTCTGCCCTGATCACTGAAACCAATTTAAGGTGTGAGGCAGGATGAGATTACCCCGAGGAATAACTGGAGCAGATTTGAAAAGAAAAGGCTATTTATAGTACAATGCAGCCTGGGTGATTAAAAAGGCTTGCAGTAGGAGAAAACTGCAGTAACTTTGATTTAACCACCTCACGTGTTTTACAAATGACTTTCCCTTTGAAAACTGAGGAAAAGGCAATTTAAAGATATGAGGAAAAGTATTTACAGTGGCATAGTTTAAATGAAGGAGTGAGTGATGAACATAGCAAAGTTGAAAAAAAAATGCCTCTAATAAATGATTTTTAAAGTCTATTAAAGGAAACTCAAAACAGCCCAGGACACCAGTAAGACACTGGGAACACTGGAGAAGTTACAGTTTTGCATTCTTAAGGTACTTGTGCCTCCTGTTTTATGGGACAGTAAAAGCTTACCACAATCTAGAGGTAGTTTTTACTCTAAGAAGGATGATTGTATCACTGAACTGTGTCCTGTAATGTTACACACACGGTTCCTATACTAATGTTGCTCAATGAGTTTGCTGCAATTTCTAAGAAACTGAACAAAGGCATAATTATCACAGTGTGGGAATGGAAGCAAAACTGGCAAGATGAGCACGCAAGACTATGCACAGCCCTGAATGTAACCAAATCTTAACTGAAAGGAGAACGAACACACACTTCCTAAGTGGCGGACATTTGTGGAGATACTCAGTACCGGGGAGGAGAGAACAAAAGAGGCAAAAGAAAAATGGAAATATAAGTTACATTTCCATTTTTATAAACTTCCAACCATCTCTCCCTAAGGTACTGTCTTCCAGCTATTCTACTTGACCACCTACCTAATAAAAGCATTTTATGTTTTAAGATTACAATGATGTTCTGGCCTAGGCAAAAAACCAAAACAAAAACAACAAGTAACAATAATACAACATATTTTGCTGAGATTTTCCTCATTCTACTGGAAGGGCACCATCTACCACTTTGTAGCAAATACTTCTCATGATATTTTTTTAACATTTGCCAACAAGGCAGAAGACACCTTGCTGAATGAAATCACTGGAGCATTCCAAGTTAACAAAAACAAAGAAAAACACCAAAGTTTAACTTACACATAATACAAGTTATGTACAACATTAGGAGGAAGGGAAAACTGAAGTAATCCTGGAACACACAAATGTCTTATGTATGGGAAAGGGGAGAGGACACTTCAAATACCAACATATTCTGTGCCATTAACTCATTAATGACTACATGGCCACACTGAATTCCATTTGAATGTTACAACTTCTTGGATTACCACTATAAATACATTTTTTTTTTAAAAAAAGGAAAACACAAATAACTGCCAACAGTGACTAAAGAAGGAGACTAAGTTAACGTACATTGCATGTATTGCAGGCAAGGCAGAGGCATTGTCTTTAAAGCTTTTGCACAGACTTCATATAATCTTAAAAAACATATGCAGGCCTTTACAAGATTTGACTTGCTGAAATCAGAACAATTTTAACTCAAGAAAAGTCATAAGACTTCAGCTTTAAAAAAAAGTTCCAGCCTTAGACCAAAAGAACCTGGAAGGATATGGTAATTTATTAAACAAGCATGGTCAAGCTTGGAACCTGAATGTACTTCAGAGCAAAAGCTCAAAGAGGGCGGGGAGAAAAACCTATTTGGTAACAAGACGTACTATATACTGTGATATAAAAAAAGGTATGGTGAAAATGTACCTTTTACTAATAAAGCTTATATAAGTTCCTTGGTCCGTAAAAACTATGTTAATTTGTGTCTTCTAGTTTGCTTAACTTTTATACCAGCCACGTATCTATTTTTTGCTCATTTAAACAAAACCAAAGACAAACCAACCAAACAATAACAAAAAAACAGCTGAAAAACTCAATCTCCAATAGTTTGTACATGGGTTTTGTTTTGTTTTACTGTGGCTTCTGCATCTCAAGTCAGCACTTGCAGGTAACGGGGTTTTTGAATAGTATCACTTGGTATGAAAAAGTTTTTCCAAGAAACCACAAAAAATTGTTCATTTTTTTCTCTCCTTTTTTTGACAACTTTTTGCTGCACCCAGGTCAGTTTAAGTCCTAGCAAAAAGACAGTGGTTAGGACACCACAGTTGCTGTAGATGATGTAACGCTGGTTGAATTTGTGCTGGTGTTTGTGTAACTCCCCTCACTGTTTGTGTTTGACTCGTTGGTGGGCACTTGGCTTGAGCTGGTTCGAAGGATGGCTCCCGTGGCACTGCAGTGCGGCCTCGACCCTGGCTCTGGCGTGTAGGTAAAGGTAAGGCTGGTGGAATAAATGATCCCATCATTGTGGACCAAAGTTACTGGAACCTGGACTGGCTGCTGGACCCACCTCCAACCTCCTCGGAATGCAAAAATGTCTGGGACCACACAGAGCATGCTCTCTCCACATCTGTACATAGTTTCAGCTTCTACATCCCCAAACCATACTCGTAAATTTGGAGTGAAATTCTGTCTTGTAAGTTCAAGCATGGCTACATCCCCTCTGCCATTCAACTGAAGACCTTCTACCACAGGCACAGGGGTAACTGGGGCAAGGACAGGGCCCATCCCTTCGTAAAATGTATACTCTGCCTTATCTGTGCTAATGATTGTCCACGAAGAAGCTCCATCATTTATCATCTCTTTATTTGGTTCTTTCAGGCATGGAGTGGCCTGAAATTGAATTACTCTTTCTTGAGAAAGGCACAAGTACATTCTTTCTGTATCCTTAAGGTAAAATGCACATTTATGTAGTTGTGACACAGGATTGTCTGCATCCAATAATGCTGTCTACTTATCAACTTTCCTAACTATCAATCTTGGGAGTGCCATGCCAGTAACTGAACACACAAGTTTGACTGTTTGTCCGTAATGGATGTAACTCGAACTGTGAATTCTTCTCCTTCTGATTCATCATCATCCAAGAGATGAATGTAAAATGCTCCCCACTGTTGTGAATTGGCATGGAAATTACCTCCTTCTACATGCAAGTATCTGGTACTAACTGTCTGGGATCGAAGTCGATTAAACAAAGCCACCTTTGTTCCTGAGGCAATGCATAAGTCAGCATTTTGCAATGACTGCTTCTTTTTGGAAGGTTTGGAGATGACTTTTATCCGCTTGCTGAGAACACACCAATGTCATCACTGTTGCCATAGAACATTTTTACAGACAACATGAAGTGTTTTCTCTTGTCTGAATCAGATATGTATAATGTCTTGGCTGTGCAATAGTCCTTTCTTTCCAAGTTCAGCTGCTGCATTTCTTGGTCACTATTTTCTATTTCAATAAATGCACATGGTTGAGACCCTTGCTTAGAACAACCATCGCGTTCCACTTGCTCTTTTTTTTTCTTCCATCCACTGCCCATAAGATAAACACAAGGCGGAGGGCAAAAAACCCTTTTTTCATTTCCATATGACTTCTGTGCAACTTCTGCATGAAGAATGAGTACTATTTGATACCCTCACTCTTTTAAATAATTTCACATAGCTTCCATAGTATTTGCTACTATCCTCAGTTTCAGGCATCCATGGGTTCATCTTAGAACCTATCCTCTGTGATATGAGGGGACCATTGTACTTGGTTCTTTAAAAAAAGATGTTTGTTCATCCTAGTGAGTCATTTAGGTGGAGGCCGCTCACCAAACTTCCCTGTCACCACAGGCGCCATCCTCCACAAACTCTCCTTCAAACTGTATTAGTTGTATATGTATACATTTGCATAAAGTTGCTAAGGAGGCTGTCCACTCCTTGGTAGCCATGACAAAGTCCTATCACTGGATACCTGTCCTCAGTAGTGTTTATCACGGTGGTTTCATGTAACTGTTCTCTCTCCCTCCCTTTCCTTCCACCTCCTCCCTCACTTCTCCGCCACACATGGTTTTTGAGAGTGAGGTTAGAAGAAAGATATTAAATTGGTGCACTGGTGCTCTGTGGTATTACTTCAGTTAGCTGGACTCCTACTCTTCTGGTTTTTTCTTGAATGCTACTTGCCTCTACTCAGACAAAGATAACTGTTTCCTTTTGTTTTTCCTTCTTTGTGGATCATGTCCCATTAAGTTATTTGCTATCGTCATTTTGTTTTGTACAGTATAAAACCTGGTCTATTTATTTTTATTGACACCTTGATCCACTAAAAGGATCTTTGCCTTTCTCTTTTATATAATAATTTTATTTGGCTTTTTTTATTATTCGAATTTCTTTTCCTACTCTCTGTGTTACATTTTAATTAAAAGATCCTATTTCTATTTAAAAAAAGATAAATTGTGCATTTACTTTGCATGCAGTTGCTGAAGTAACTGGTGCTGTGCCTTACAGAACAGAGTATTAGTGAATCTGCTGAAAAGGTTTCATGGGACTCAGTCAATCTCCTACAAGTAGATTAATAAAGCTAAACTAAGTGTAGACCTGAATTAGAGAAACCCTGTCAGAAATGTCTCTTATAGTCCATTTTCCTTTGCAACATATTTCATGAGAACTTTTTCAAAAAGTGAATTTTCATTTAAGGTGATTAAGAAGTTTTTTCCTTGTCCTGTTAAGCTCCTCAATTTCAAATTTAACAGGGATACCTAACATATCTGAGACACACTGCTAGGAAGAGCAGCATCAGAATGTGAGCCCAGAAGTTGCCTACTCTTCTAATATCAGGGTTTCTTTTTGGAGGTAAAATGAGCCCAGAATGTGTGAGGAGCTTCAGGATGAGCCAAGATGAAGAGGAAGTGACGCTGGCAGTGGGGTCAGGGAGCAGCAGACACACTGGAGGAGTGAGGGACCTGGAAATGTCCCTAGTGTCTCTATAGGGAAAGTTTAGAACTCCAGCCTGGGGACTGTGTGCTTCCCTCCTCTACCTTCTGTGCTAAGATTTCAGTCATTTCAATAGTTGCTGGCACACCCTGAACATTCTCAACTGTCCACAGAAAGTCATAAAGGTAGGTCGGCCTTTCCTCATCTCAGTTAGGCACTGGTAGAAGGCAAGCTTTTTCTACTCTTACATCTATGAAAAACAAAGAAAAAAAATTTCTATTTACCTAGTTTTAGAAAATCAAAAACAATAAGACTGATATCTTATTTCAGTTTTCATGTAAATAAGTTTTTAAAATATATTAGAGTGGCTCACTAGGATTATGAAAGTATCAAATTACCTTCATTTCACTACCTAGATACATGGGTGTCCAACAATTTTGCTTGCCTGACTCCCCCTGAAGGAAGAGGAATTGTCTGGGGACACATTTAAACTATTTAGTATAGTTAGTGTACATGAGTAACAAAACTTTCTTTTTCTATATGTTGTTTTATGACATATAAAGGGCAATTGGTGTGCAGGCTGCAGATCAGACAGTGTAATGGAATGTTCATTTATTTCTCAATCATCAGGGCTCAACATGTAAGCATTCCTCAAAACCCAGAGGAAAGTTTAGCAGCCATCTGGAGATCAGTACTCTTCCTCTAGAATTTCTCTTTATGGCACTTTACACATATTTTACCACTTATTACTCCCTGCCTTGTTTTGTGCTTGTGTTGGCAGCCTTATAAAACAGGCTCTTGCTTAGTCCTAATCCTTTAGGCCATGTACCAGTGAGAGGCACATGTTAATTTTTTATATTAAACATCTAACAAAGTCATACCCTAGCAGAAGAACTCAAGAGACTTTTTTTTGCTTGATATGGTATGATTTCTTCCCTTTCTTTTGCTTAGGATAGAAAAACTATTCACTGTCCCAAAGACTACCCTCCAGGCAGCACTCCCCACACCCCTTCTCCTTGAGGTGCTCATAGAATAAATACTATTGTTTGTAAACATTTTTGGACAACCAGGCCAGAGCCAGCAAGCAAGAATTGAGTGCAACCAGCAGTAAAATCAAGGGAAACTGAGCTTCTGGCTCCCTTTCAGAAGGAACAGGGAAGAGAGTTCCAAATAAGGCACTCAGGGTGAGGCGCTGCTACTTAATTTTCATAATCTAAAGGGTACAACTGCATTCATTCACACAAATCACTGTGGCCCAATTTATATTTCCTATCATAAACTTTACAAATCATGTGACTCAGCACCTGTGCTCTGTTTCTCATAAGAGAAGGTAAAGAACACACTCAACAGTTCAGTCCTTTGAGGATTGTAATCAGTATTTCATTTCATCTAAACTACAAATGTTTATGTTATAGAAACAAATTGGAAGGTAGAATAAAGAATAAATTATTAAAATGAACTTCTGTTCATTGTTGGCTTCAAAACAGTTACATAAACATCCTTCAAATAGTTAAGAGATGAGGCCATTTTTAATGGCCAGCCTGAATAAGTAGCATTACCTCTGTTGATCCTGTGAAGGCCACTTTGTCAATGTCCGTGTGTGAAGAGATGGCTGCCCCTGCAGTGGGCCCATAGCCAGGGACAATATTCACCACTCCAGGAGGAAAACCTACCTGAAAGGATAAAAAGCAAAACAGTCACAACAGAACTCAGAATGATGCAAGAAAGGGGAGTATGGGATAGAGGTTACTTCTTCAAGGTAATCTGGTGAGTTGTTCTACCAAGAAAATTTTACCTAAGCAACTTAATTCTTTATTCCTTATTATTATTGTTTCATTTCTTACCCCATATAAAAATAACCCAGTGGGGGTAATATTATGCTACACTTTCTTCCCAGGGTAAGTCCCTAGTTTATGGATCATTACTCCAATGAGGGCCATCTCAAATTTCCTTACAGTAACTCAAGAAGATAGTATATTTAAACGTGTTTGGTAAAATGTTTACACAGAAGAAAAGTAATGTGTTTATTGTCTCCATCAGCAAAAATAAAAACCGAGAGGACCTCACATTTTCAGTTCTCTGGCTGTTGATGGCTTAAGGCTTAGGAACTGAGTTGCAAACCCAGTGACATTCTTTAATCAGTAAAATGTTAGGGAAGCAAGGTCATCCTGTTCAGGGTGAAGCTTCACAAACTGATGTCAACCCCTGGTAAAGAATTCATGTAGGAGGCAAGGTTGCAATTGGGTTGAGCACATTAAAATTTCATGTTATTTTCATCAAATTCCTGAATTTTCTCATTTTTTGTCTCTTTTTAATTTGAAATGAAGAATATTAAGGTATGGCCGTAGTTTTCCTAAATTTTAACTTTCTAGTGATTAACAATTGTTTAAGTTTTGGTAAGATATGAAGGACAAAGAGTAACAAGTGATCACACTATTAGGATAGCTGATGAAAATAATTTCTCTTAGCTACTTTTGAAGAATATAGAAGAAAGCATAATAGAAAAGTGAATATGAAAATGGATATTCATGGGAATAGGCTTTAGAAATATGGCCTAGTGTTACAGACAAATATATTGGCACAGTGAACACCAGCCTTAATAGATTAAAAATAAAAATTTGTTTAAATTTAAACAAACTTGCAGAAACTACTGGGCCATAGTGGCAGTTAAAAACTAGCATAATATTCCAGCATTGAAAGGGTGCTGTCTTAGTTTCACCAGGAATTTGTGTTTATCAGAGTCAGACAAAAGCAAGGAAACAGTGGTCACCAGGTGACTGACTCCAAGTCTCCCATCTGGCTTCTGATCTGCATCTAGGGCAGACTCATGTGCTCTGACTGACAAAATTCCAGCTAGCAGCCCTGCTCAGGGCACCCTACCCACTGGGCAGAGGCTTTGAGGAGAATGCAGCTGACCGTTATAGGGAATGGGGAAGAGGACATTGCCAGAATCTCTACCCTGTGTCCTAGCCTCTTGTGAGCCACTACAGAACAAGGTGAAATAAAGCATACACAGAAAACCAGACTTAGAGTGAAGCTGAGTCTTGGGGGATGATCAGTGCTGCTTATGACAACAAGGACAAAGGCCCTCAAGCATATCCAGAATTTATTGAATAGAATCATAGAATCATTGGTATAAACATGGAGCCAGGTATGCTTTGAAGGCATCTAGTGAAATGCTGCCGAACACCTTGCCATGATGGCACCAGGCAGGGATGTTAGGGAGGAAGCACAGCTTATCTTGTTTGGCTAGAACACACAGGTACTAGGACCAGGTAAACTTAGCAAACAAGCCATTGGGTCAAGGAGAAGCCATATTCAGGGGAAAGGATTTTAATTGGAGTCACGTTGACCTCAGCTGCACGTAACTCAGCAGAGTCCTGCCACTTCACAAACAAGGGCCTAGGCCTCAATGAGAGTCATTAGCAATGGAGAAATACTAGCCTAACTCCGCTACCAGACATGCCCATTTGAGTCACATAAGGGTTTGGTCTGAATCCTGATATAAAACAATATAGCCAAATTAGGGAAGGCAAGAAGCATGTGCCACTCATAGCCAGCTAGTCCTGGCCTAGAATGTCTGCTATAGACAGTAGTACTAAATGATGGTTTATCAACTGGGGCTCTTGCATTCTTGTGCATTATGCTTTGACCCAGGAAACTTACCTCTTTAATTAACGATGCCACATGAAGAGCAGTGAGGGGAGTCTGCTCTGCTGGTTTGACAACCACTGTGTTTCCACAGCTCAGGGCAGGCCCTATCTTCCACACCAGAATAAGCAACGGGAAGTTCCACTGGAAAGCAACATTCCACAATGGAGTCTTTGTTTTGTTCAAAGGTGCAGGAACTAATGTAATTTAGGCATTATAAACTCCCCCCCCTCCCCGTAGTTGTTAAATAATGTGTTGCTGTTTTGTACCGGCATCCAGTGTATTCTATTTAAGGCCACGGACAAGAGCAACTAGTAAATTATAACACTCTAACTAAAGCAAATGGAAGAAGGAAAAAGGAAAGAGTGCTCATATTAAATCAAGTGTCATTATTTTGCATTCTTATTCCACCAGGAAAAAAATCAATGCATGGTTTTAGATACAAGCAAACATATTGTAAGCACTCTGTGTTTTAAAAAGTGGTTATTCTCTTTTCTTTATAGGTGATTTATTTTGTTTACTCAATAATATAATTTATTTATGGGATAAATACACTTTTTTGTGATGATAGAAATCCAACCCAGGGCTTCATAAATATGTCATGTGCTCTCTCACTGAGCTATTGCTCCAGTAAAGGACAAAAAAATCTTGTTAAAGAAAAAGATATGAGGGTCCAGAGGAGGAATGCTTGGGCTAAGATCCCAGGGTGATCACTGAGCAGCAGTATGAGCTCACACAAATTAGTTGTTCTCCATAAGCACTAATAACATCCTTTACTAGAAGGGCATCCTGAGGATTAAGATAGTGAGCAAAATGCTCAGGCACGTTAGGTATCATTAGTATTTAGGGTTTTATGGCTTTAATGAATTTGGGGGGGGGGTTGGATGTATCAGTAATTTGATTAAAAATGCTATAAAGTCATTGAAATAAAAAAATAAATTAATGACACTTTCTCATTTAAGAAATTCAGTGTTCCAAATTCCTCTATTTCACTTAAAATTTAAAAAATCTCTCAGTGCAAATATTAACAGCTTTCCTCACAAAATTAGAGAAAAACACTTAAAATTCATATGGAACAAGGAGAGATTCAGTATAGCAAAAACAATCCCAGGCAACAAGAGAAAAGTAGAAGTCCTCACTGACCTGTGATGCTTCAAGTTATATTACAAAGCTACAGTGATAAAACCAGCATGGAATTGGCATGAAAATAGAAAAGTGAATCAGTGAAACAATAAATGATGCACATTCAGGTATTGATCATTGACAGATATTGATCTTCCACAAAGGAGTTGAAAACATATGCAGGAGAAAAGAAAGCTGCTTTAACAAATGATCTTGGGAAAATTGAATATACACATGCAGAAGATTAAAGCTAGGCCCATATCTCTCATCATGTACTAAACTAAAATGAAAATGGATCACAGAACTAAATGTTTAGACAGAAACAATCTGATGAAAGATAAAATGGGTAAAACTCTTGAAGGCATAGGCATTGAGAAGAACTTTCTAAACATAAATGCCAATTGCACAAGAAATAGGATCAGGCATCAAAAAATGGGACTATATCAAATTAAAAACTTCTTCACAGAAAAGGAAACAACCAACAGAGTGAAGAGACAACCTAGAGAATGGGAAAAATATTTTGTCATCTACTCCTCAGAAGACTGATATCTTGACTATATAAAGAGCTAAAAAAAATTCGAGCCCCCAAAATAAAAGATCCACTCAAAAATTGTCAACTGGAATGAATAGACACTTCTCAGAAATACAAAGGACCAATAAATACATGAAAAACTGTTCAAAATATCTGGCCATTAGAGAAATTCAAGTGGGTTAAAACAACACTAAGATTTCATCTTACTCCAGAAAGTATGGCTGTCATCAAGAAATTAAATAATAATAAGTACTGGTGAGACTGTAGGGAAAAATGAGTCCCTCTACACTGTTGGTGGGAAAGTAAGTTAGAATAACCACTATGGAAATCAGTAAAGAGATTCTTCAAAAATCTAAAAACAGAAAATCCATTTTGCTCAACTCTTCCCCTTCAAAGTATCTTCCTGAAAGATTTAAATATTAAATAATAAAGGAATTAGTTTAAATATTAAATGAATTAATTTAAATATTAAATATTAAAATGATACCTGCATTCACATGTTTATAACAGCACAGCTCATAATATCTAAATCTTAGAAGTGCTCTATTTGTACATCAACAGAAGAATGAATAAAGACAATGTGGTATTTATATAGAACAGAATACTACTCTGTCATAAAGAAGGGTAAATTTGAGTAATTTTTAGGAAAATGGATCCACCTGAGACCATAATGTTAAGTGTAATAAATCAGACACACGCGTTTGAACATCTCATGGCTTCTCTTATATGAGAAACTCAAGATATAAATAAATTAAAGTGCAATAAAAGATAGATTACAGGAAACAAATAGATCTTTTACAAAAGGATGGAGACCAAGTGATGGAGGCAGTGGGGGCAGGAGAGGAGGAGTAGGGGATCAAAGAATTAAGTGTGTTATGCATATGTAGCCACCTACCACAGGGAATGTAATCATTGTGTTCTGCCAACGCGTACCAATAGGAAAGAAAATGTCTGTCAGGAACTGAACACTTTTATTGCTTCTGAGTCTGTGAAGAGACGTCAGAGGGGACAGAGTGGTGGAGTGGTCGGTGGAGCACAGTCCCCGGAAGGGCTGTCCCACAGCAGAGGAGCCCAGTCCTCCCTCTGACACATCTCACAAAGCATGGCTTCTAACAAGAGTGCATAATGCAAGTTTTTGAAAATAACTCTTAGAGGAAAAGGCTGGGGCTTTGATGCAGGAATACTGAAGCACACTGAAGAGGTATGTCAGGGTATAGCAAGATTTCAGTATTTCCTAAATTATATCCCAGAAATTCAGTCACAGGAAGACTCTTTTCAATAGGTCCTGCTTGTTGAAATTCATATCACATTTGGCCAGTAAGCAAGCATCCATTTGTGATGGAGAAATCTTTGTCACCAAATTAAAGAGAGTTAGGTTTTCTTTTTTAATCGTGCAGGAGAGTAACTTACAGGAATGATTTGGCCACATACTCCAATAGGTTCGCGTCTTGTGTAAGTGAAAAAGTCTCCATCTGGAAAATAAAGCACACACCCAGCCCTATAGAGAACTGAGGTACTTGACATTTGCAGAATAGAGGATTGAAACTGATGGCCGAGGAAGAGTAAAATAGTAATTAAAAAATGAAAAAGAATCCATTTCTTAAACAACTTACAAAAAAAGAAATTTGAGCACTCAAATAGGAATTTGGAATGATAGAAGCCATAAAACTGAGTTAAATAAAAAGCAAAAATGCAAAATTAGGAAGTATCTGGAAGATAATTAATTCTGCTCTTCATTATCAAAGAGAGATGTTCTCCATGTTATTGTTATTCTCAAAGTTTTATAGGAAAAGTAAGAGAAAGGAGGTAGGATCATATCTAGCTGAAAGAAGAACCATATTCAAATGTATTTTCAGCAGCTCAAAGATTTACCAATCATTTAATCCTTTTGAAAAGTCATATAATTTAAAAAACAGTAAAATTAAAACTGTCTTTCTAGAAGGAATAAGCCTTTCTATCAACTTGCTCTGAAATGTTCTTTTCCTTTCCTTACTAAACCAAAAGCAAGCTCTTTTAATCTATGTAAAAAATGGCCAGTATAAAATTCTTTTTCTGTCCAGAGTTGAGTGATTAACATGTTTCAGAGTTTGATGTGGTCGTCCTGAGAGTATCATTGCTTGTTGTATTTCAGTCCCCACGGGAGCCACCTGGCTGTCACAGCAAGGCCTGGCTTTCTGAAGTTCCACATGTACTTTAAATGGGTTTTTCCATGTGGGCTGAAGGCAAAGATGGTCACTAAAATAGCCACATTTCTTGGAACCACTGTAGTCTCATTGTCCTCTTGTAACTTCCTACCACTTGTAACCTCCCAAATGTTCCAACTGGATTAGAAATGCACATCTGGGGCAATCCTGGAAGTGTGGTTTATTGCTAAAGTTAACACATTTCTATGTTAAATTTCACCCTTACTATTTCCCCTATTGATGCTTCTTCATATACAATATTTTTCATATTTCTATTTTTTATGTGCATACATCACAGAAATAACACACACATGCACATTTATATATACAAATTCTTGTACAAGGCTATAAGCATAGCCACGGGTCATTTTGAAGCTATTTGAAACAAATCATATGAATTATTCTGGTCTAACTGTACTGAGTTTGAACAGGCACAGATAAACAGAGCTGGCTTATAATGGAACATGCAATAAGGCTTAAATAATTACATTTTGGAAAAGGTATAAATGTCACTATGGAAATGAAACCCAAAATAATTAATGTCAGAAGCAAGCCTTACAAAATGTGGGCCCTTAGATAGCTGCCTCCAATCAGCAATTGTAGCCTTAAGAATGTTTCTATTTTAACAGTTTCTAAAATATTCATGGTGTTATCTTCTGCCTGATTGTGCTGAAACAACATTAAGAACCATTTGTTGAATCTTCATAGAATTTGCAAGTTTAGAACTGTGTTGGCTTAACATCAGGGGAAAATAATTTTCTTTGTTTGCCTGGCCTCTTCAAGAGGGAGAGTTAGAAAGTATTTAGCTCTACAGTAATTGCTGCATACCTGACCCCACCCTGGAGTTTTCCCAATGCTCCTTACCGACAGGAATGGTGCGGCCCTGGATCTTGTCAGCCCAGCCTGCAAAGTAGCGTAATCCTTTTACAGACATTTCTATATCCATCAGATATGTATTAGAAAATAGTTTTCCAGCATTTATCGCCTCCATTGTCTGAAAAACAGATTGATCTCCAAATTTAAAATTCCACAAAAATTTTAGATCAAAATATATGTGGTCAAGACGTTGAATATGCACTAGAGAATTTTGGACTCAGAAGAAATTTTAAATGACCTTGATTAAGTTTCTTTTTGTAAAAGACAGACTCAAAAAGAGTTAAAATAACATGTATATGTGGTCATATTGCATGAGCTAGGTAAAATGGATAGGAGATTCCAGCTGCTAAACCTGAGTTCCCTTTCTGTCTCATCCTGAGTGTTCTCTGCTAACCAACATTTGAAGTTGGTCACAATTGGATACATGCCCCTGGTAAGAGAAATGTGGAGTCTCCTTGAGCAGATCCGAATTGTAACAAGATTTCTCCATGCAGACAATTTAGTGTTAGTGATTTTTAATGATGTTTCAATAATCATTTTTGTTGTTGTGGTTTTTTTTGGTACCGGGAATCAAACTCGGGTCCTTGCTCTTGCGCAGCAGGCGGCGAAACCACTGAGCTAAATCCCCGGCCAAAATAATCATTTTTGACATTCTAGGGGCTGAGGCAGAAGGATCACTACAAGTTCAAGGACCACGTGGACTACATAGTGAATTCAAGGCAACAAGATTCTGTCTTCAAAAAATGACTTTTAATTTTTGGATTCCATATGAATATAACCAATCTATTTACATAAGCAAAACATCTGGGTCTTTCATCTATGAATATTCTTCAGCAGAATTTCCAATTATGGAACTGAAAAGAAATAAGATTTATTTTAGTGATATGTCGGGTACCTTCATCAAAGTCAGGTAAGAATTCCAGTAAGAGTTCTGGATCAAGAAAGTTTGGGAAACCTAGTACAATATTCTGGAAGATTCACACAGCATGTTACCTTGTTGGAGGCTCTGTGTGCTACCATGTTAAAGGCTTGTTAAAATTCTAGCATAAAAGAAAGAAATTTCTTTTATTTGGCCTAACTGAGAACTCGCCAAAACCCATCCTGTACAGTCAGTTATGGGAGCAGAAGTTCACATCACCCAGAGGACTACTTGAGAAAAACCCCCAGGGCTAACAGACCTATAGGTTAGCTGGAGATGAAGTCTTTTCCTTTTTTCGTAGAGTGCAAGTAGTGCTCACTACAACCACTCAAGTTGTCAATTCAAACAGTGAATGCTTTGGAAAGCTCTCCCTATGCATCCGGTTTGGTTATACTCACTGCCAGCAGCAGTCGATCTCTTTCAATTAAGTCAGCCAGCTTGTAGAGGAGGCGTCCCCTCTCTGAAGCATCCATAGTACGCCATGGAGAGCCAATCTGAAAGGCCTGTCTTGCGGCCTTCACTGCCTTGTCAACATCTGCCTGTAAGTCAGACAGAATTCAATTCAATACGCTCAACATAGTGGCAGAGCAAATCCAATGGGAAAAACCCTTTCAAACAGACTGGACCTACTCATAAACAGACGGTGGTTCTCCATTATCTGCAAGTCTAGCACATTCTGCATATTCAGCTATAGTAGGTAGGCCTGAAACTTGCTGATATTCTTTAGAATGATAAGCTCCTCACACTTGACACATGCTTGATTTCTTAGATTGCAAATGTTAACAATATTTTAGTAGTTTACTAATATCTGAGCGTTTACCATATTTTGGGTAATGTCTTAAGAACTTTACATGTGTTAACTAATTTGATTCTCAAGAATGTCATAGGACCAATATATTCTCCATTTAACAGATGAAGAAACAGAGAAGAAATATTTGTTCAAGGTCAGGAACTAAAATTGGATGAACTGAGTTTGAATGGAGGTGGTCTAGCAATGGATCCCTTGCTCTTTACCATACTTTCTACTCCTTTTGTAATTTGCCTCATTGCCTGCACTCAAGTTGCCTTCCCTCGTGAGTTTCTCTGTTGTGTTTTTCTAAACCAGCTGTACCCCTCTAGTTCTTTCCTAATCATCCTTGGTTATTCCATTCCCTTATGGATCCTTGTGCAGACCCTTTCTCATGTCCCACAAAATATACCTACAATCCATATCACCATCCTTACATTACTACTTCATATGTTTGTTTTCCCCCAAATAAATTGCCAATACATTAAATTCCAACATTCTTCTCACCTTCCCTTTTTTTTTGCATAGGACTGACTACTGTGTGGAAATCCACAAATTAGAACCGCACCACAGGCCAGTAGGTTGCAACTTTTTTCAGAAGCTGTAATTTTGTTTGAGAATTAGGATAAGCAAGAGGAAACAATTCTCTTTTTAAGTTGCTCACAATTAAGCGGAATCTTATTTATTGATAAAGGCTCCCTGCTGGAGAGTTCCGGACCTCAAATTAATATGCCCCCACATTAGCTTGCATTCATTTTTAACCTAGTTTGCCTTAAGTGTTTTTGGAATCCTTAAAGATTATTTTATAGTAAAATGTTGGATGCCTCATTTAGTTTGTTTAATGCTGTGTAGTATTGGGAGTGTAGAAATAGATTGTGTAGCTGACTGGGAGCTGTGGATTACTATTGGTGCTCAGTGTTGAAAGAGGATATTGTTCTGCTTAGTATTGCTAGCCTGGGGGGAAAACTCAAAATTTAAAATTCCAAGTATAGTTTCTACTGAGTGTGCATTGCACTTGCATTTTACTTAAGTTAAAAATGGGAAGTTGAAACTATGTAAATTGTGGATCATCTGCATTTATAACCAAACTACGATTATTTGGAATAAGAGAGATATTTTTGAAGTATAATCTGGTCTAATTAAATTATAATCAGCTACAAAGAAATATTCTTCAAAGTAATTCATTACAGCAGTGTATCTCCCTATAAAACTTAGGACAATGATGAATATATACAATAAAATATCTGGCTTTATTGCTTGGCATCCTGAGAAATACATATATAGTTTATATTTTGAGCATTCAATTAATCATATTATTTATGGGTGGACATTACTTTTGCCGTAAGTTCTACCTTTTTCCAATTAAATTAAGAAAGCACTGTTTTGGAAAAGAGACAGAGAAGCAAACCATAAGGAACTGAGTTGCCAGCATGATCTGTGAACACCACAGCTTATAAAATATACGCAGCTCTGTGTTTAAACAGATCTGTGTGACACAGCTTTCATTTCAGTCCTTCCACTCATTGTTCTGTCACTGGTGTTAGCCAAGTATAGGCTATCAGAGGTTTCCTGGCCCCTCAAAGGGATAAGAAGGAACTGGCTGCAAGACAAATTACTCTGCCATCTGAAAACGACATCCTTAGAGAATGCTGCTAAAAGTAAAGATATTCTTGTTCTTGTGTCTTGTGAATTATATCTTTCTCTTACTTCTGATATTTAATTTTATAGGAACATAAGTAGAGTCATGGTAGCTAATTTATATGTTTGGAACAACATAATCCAGGTTTATATTCAAATTCCATTGGTTTGGTCATTTTGGAGGCATCCAGCCATCCATATTGATCCCTCCATCCGTCCATCCGTCCATCCATGTAAAGATTTCATACACAATCCACCCGTAGCATTCTTCTCATTGGTCTGCTAATGATAGAACACTTCACTAAAGAGACTGACCTTTTGACATAGTCAATCAAATGGGAGGCACATACAGCCAAATCATCACTCCACTATCATATATTCCACGAATAACAATTAACCCTCAGTGTCTAAGGAATTGATTCCATAGACCACCTTACCAACAACCTAAATCCACAGATGATAAAATCTCTTATTTAAATGGACTTGGTATTTTCATATAACTGACATACATTCACATATATTTTAAATTGTCTCTATATTGTTTATAATACCTACTATAATATACATGCTTTGCAAATAGCTGTTATGCTATATTGTTCCAAGAATAATGATAAGAAAAAATATTTGTACACATTTAGTATAGACACCTCTTGGGTAGGCTTAATTCATAGTTCATGCCAGCAACAACATCACCATGGTGGGTAACATGATTGCCTGCGACATTTACAATTTTTTAAATTAAAGAGCCACAAGCTGAGTATGTACACAATTTGAAAGATGATAAACTCTCAAATTCTTCCTAAGCACTGGTAAGGAAAAACTGAACCCAGATCATACATTTGGATATTAAATTTATTCAGAGATGAAGAAAATAGTTATCAGATGAAGTTTCACTTTTACACTTGTCATAAACACTTACTTTAATGTACATTTGCTTTTATCCCTACCAATTATTGTTAAGTCATGTTATAGAAGCAGTTTTCAGGATTAGTCATCACAGCCTGAAAGAACCACTGAAGTGAAAATGGTTCCCACCCACATCTGTGCTTTGTTCTATAAATTCCATTTGTTCTTGTCCTTCCCCTTTTCTTTTTGATACCACTGAGAGCCCATTGTTAGTCCCATTCTACTTACATTAAATCCCTAAAGCTTTTGGCTCATTATTTAAAGAGTCAGTTCCAGAATATTAGGTTTATTGTAACTGGGTAAATTACAAGATCCAGTACCTATATACGTGTAACACAAGGGTTATAGACAAATACAAGGTTCTATAACCACATAGGAAAAACAATTCTACCTGGGAAGATTTGAGAAGGCTTCAAAGAAGTATAAATTCCCATAATTACTGAGGCTTTATGTACCTGACATTTTAAAGATCTTATTAGCAATAAGACCTTTATTTTTTCCGGTATAGGAGTCAAACTCAGGACCTTGCACTTGCCAGGCAGGCACAGTGCCACTGAGTTACATCACTGGTCCAGCAATACAATCTTGAATAAAGTATTCAACCTTTCTGTTCTGCTATTTTATCATCATTTTGAAATACAGCTAAAAATAGTATCTTCCTCTTAAGGTTTCTGTATTAAATTAATACCACACTTAGAAATAAGAATTGCCTTCTTAATTTGGCTAGAATGTAACTATACTTTTAACTAGTCATTCAGCCTGTCATTTTAAAGGTATTCATTAATATTAATTT